TGAAATTGTATTGTTTTTTCTACATGTATTTTTTGAAAATTTTATTTATTCGCTGGGAAAATTAAATGATAGCATTGTAGTTGTGGGTAGGCCTTCTTTGTCTTCTGGCAATCAATACATTTAGACCCACTCCACCACTGTTTCAGTTAGATTGATGTATATTCATAAGTGTTCTAAAATCTAAATATTCTGAAAATCTAACATCTTTACTTTTGTTTATAAATATTGTAAAACGAAATCTTTGCATTTATCCTGATAAAGTCCACCATAGGACAAAACACATCAGCTAAAATAAATTTTCCTTTTGTCTTTATTCATATTGTCCTTTTACAGATATATTTATTTTAGTTATATCTAAATTTTTACGTACTTTTTTGATTTAAGTACTAGACTGGCATCAAGATTTCATCAATTTACAGTTGAGCTAGTTAGCTGTAGTAGTAAGTTCTATGCTAACAGTTCCACTTCTTGCACTTCTTGCTTGTGGAACTCCCTTCTGGCTCCATGTTTTCCAGCCAACTTTAATCTGCAAAAATTTAAATGCAATGTCAATCTCTATCTACTGTCCTCCTGATTACTCTTTTCTCTTCCTGCTCATCATTAATCTTTCTGTTGTTAATTCTTCCACGCCCTGTAACCTCTTGTATCTTAGTGGCTTTACTGCCTTATATGGGGTGATACCAATTAATATATATATATATATGTGTGTGTGTGTGTGTGTGTGTGTGTGTAATGTAATAGATGTGCAAACCAATGATAGCTTAAGACTTAAAATCTTTCATACATTTTATTCAACTCCCAATTTCATCAATTACTCTTTGGAGTCGGAGGTGCATGTGTGCATGGCACTGGAATCCTTATCTGAAATGCAGACCTTTCATTCTTGTCTGTGATGTCTGAGAGACTGCCAATTATTGCACATATATCTATCTCTGTCATGCAGCTTGTTCCCACACTTGCAAACCCAGATGCAGATCGCCTGTCATATGGATCTGCACTTGGCAACTGCTAGGTCACCTCAGGTCAACATTCTACTTTGCTACTCTTATGCTACACTGACTGCAAAAAGTTATAGTGTATAATTATAGTTTAGATATATGGGAAACAAAAAGAAGGTTTCTATTTAAACTAACACCAGGAGGAGATAATCTGATAAAAGATAATTTTTCGAGGAAAATAAGTATCTCAAGTCCACTAACTGTAATCTCTCTTTCCAGATGGGGGCTTCCTTCCTAACTTTTTCTTCAAAGCAATATTGACTTTCAACATCCTGATTATGTCATTATTTTCTCTTCAAGTTACATGTACTATTTCAGTTGTTGCTGTTGTTAGTTGTCCTCAAGTGATGTGGTTTCTGTTATTTGGTACAGTTCTTGGTTTGTGATTCTGCAGCACCAGTCCACAACGTTTGAGGAAGGATGATCTTCACCAAGATTCACAGGCTTCACTCACTCAAAGCCATTTTCATGTGGTTGTATATGACTGACAGTTTAGATATAAAGGGTGTTTCATTAAGACGGATCAAAGTCAGCAGTAAATAAATCTGTGTTATTGGTGAAAATTTATTTATTTCTCTATTGGATCATGTTATTTAAGTCATGGCAATTATGTGTGAAAAGTAATATCACCGAAATGTCTGCCAAGGCTTCGACGACACATCTCTACTCGATGGTAAAAATTTTTGATGACGTCTTTGCATAGTTGCTCCTCAATCTCACCAATATACGTTATTATCTCATCCTTCAGCTGTTGAATTGTTGTTGGCTTGTTGGCATAGACCTTACTTTTGAGATGACCCCAGGGAAGAAATCTAAAGGCATAAAGTCGCACAATCATGGTGGCTGATTGATTTTGCTGTTTCGAGAGATGATTCAACCTGAGAACTTCTCATTGCATTTCTGTTTGAACATCCATTTTTGTAATAGGCTTCAGTAACTTTAACATGTTGTATGATTGTTAATCTTTCTGTGGTTAAAATTGCCAGACTTAAGTTGTTAAATCTGAATGAAAAAGAAAAAAATCATTAGACACTTAAACTTAATTCACATTTAAAATTGGAACACCCTGTATATATATATATATATATATATATATATATATATATATATATATATATATATATACGTATATATGAAGAAATATAGTCTTAAGATGTGCTATATTTATGGGATAAAGTGCTCAATATCAGAGATAGAGCGTGTGTAAATATAAAAGTGAACATAGAAGTCAACACTTCGAGGTGACAGTCTGTTTCATGCTATATGCATATATATTGGTGGCCTGACGATTGCATATAGCATGAAACAGACTGTCTCCTCTAAGTGTTGACTTCTATGTTCACTTTTATATATATATATATATATATATATATAAAAGGATGTTTCATTAAGACAGATTATATATAAGGGTGTTTCATTAAGACGGATCAAAGTCAATAATAAATAATTCAGTGTTATTGATGAAAATTTATTTATTTCTCTATTGAATCATGTTATTTAAGTCATGGCAATTATGTGTGAAAAATAATATCTCCCAAATGTATGACAAATCTGAAAGAAAAAGAAAAAATAATTAGAAATTTAAACTTAATTCACATTTAAAATCAGTCCAAGTTATTGGAACACCCTTTATTTCTGAACGAGTTTGGTACCATGCATGACATCTATATGAATGTCTCAATCATATTACATGTATTATTTTCAGTTGCTGCTGCTGTGATGTGGTTTCTGCTATTTGATACCATACTTTGTTTATGATTCTGTAGTGCTAGTCCATGAAGTTCAAAGAAGGATCGGCCCCACTTAAATCTGAAGCCATTTTTTAATCATTGATCTGAGAAAGCCGTTGTATACAGATTAGATATTTCTGAACGGGTTTAGTGCCATGCATGACATCCATATGAAAGTCTTGATATTACATGACTTAAGTTATAATTTTTAGATAGTAATAATTTCTTCATTTTTTTTATTGAATGTAGCTTTGTCATTCATTATTAATATTTTCTCTTTCAAGTTACATGTGCTATCCATTTTAGTTGTTACTGCTGTTGAAAATCCTCAACAAATGTGGTTTTTCTTATTTGGTACATTTTTTTTGTTTATGATTCTGTAGCACCAGTCCACCAGGTTCGAATAAGTATCATCCCTGATAAGCGATATAGATTTCATTCACTCAAAGCCATTTTTAATCATTGATCTGAGAAAGTAGTTACATATAGCAGACAGTTTAGATATTTCTGTTTGTGAGTTTATTTCCTCTTCAAGTTACATCTTCTATCCATTTCAGTTGGTGCTGCTGTTAAAAAAGCCTCAAATGATGTGGTTTCTGTTTCTTTGTGATTAATTCCTGCCAGTACACAAGGTTCGAAGAAGAATGGTCCCAGCTAAGACCAACACACTTCATTAGCTTTGCACCATTTTTAACCATTGATCTGAGAAAGCAGTTGTATACAAATTAGATATTTCTGAACGAGTTTGGTACCATGTATGACATCCATATGAAAGACTTGATCTAACATGACTTAACTTTTTTGGTTAAAGTTGATATATGGTTTCTATATAACTGGGAAAAAAATAGCCGACTGCAATGTGCAATTCACTACTTAATCATAAAAACAATGTTATGATTTGTTTTTAAACAAATTCTGATGGACAATGAAAAGTAGATAGCTTACAACATTGAATACATGAATGGTACCTGTTTTATACAAATGGATACAAAAATAATCTCAGAGATTAATGTAATTTGTTCAAACTTCATCAAGTTCTTCAATATTATTGCCTTTTTGTCAAACTAAGATCAAATAAGTAAATATTTACTGAAACAAAGCCTGAAACTTTTAAGCTGTAGTAAAGAATAGTATGAAAGAAAATGCGACACTGAAATCCAAAGATCCATTGGAATAGTGGAAGATGCTTTCCAAAAGCTAAACAAAATATTAAGAAACAGGAAAATTTCATTAGAAACAAAGAAAAGAAGGCTTAATTGCTATGTAATACCAATCCTCTTATATGGCAGTGAATGCTGGTCAATTTCATCACAGATGAAGAAAAGACTTGAGAAAACAGTGGTGTGGTTGTACAGAAAGATGCTTAGAATAACATGAACAGAACATATGAACAATGAGGAATTTTTAAGGAAAATGGAAACAAAAAAGACAATTATACTTAGAATCGGAAAGAGGCAGTTAAAAAATTTTTCAGACACAATGAGGAAAGAGGGCTTGGAGAACTCACTTGACATGTTGAATGCAAGATGAGCAGAGAGAGATAGTGTGAAACCTATTTAAAGAGCTTATGGAATAGGAAGGACAATAAAAAACAAACATTACTAAAAACTACAAAATATAAAAAGTTGATGTGAGCCATGATGGTCCATGTCCTGAATGGACACGGCATATAAAAGATGTCTGTTACCATAAAATTATCTTCATGATAAAAGATCTAAATTTAAATTGAAGCAAAGATTAGTCCCTCCTCTCTCTGTAAAATAGTAAGTACTCTGCCGCCTTGCACAACCTTTTCAACCTATAACATCACCGATAGTTCAGGTATCAAGATGATACATATCCATTTTCCAGAATAGCTCGTTCTTTATTAATTTTTAAAATCAGAACATTGAAATCAGTCATCACTTTTTTTTCCCCACCCCGTACCAGGCAATTCATCATTTAATCAGAAATCTTCGTCCACCTGATCTGAATATCTTAAATTTCCACAGGAAAAATAGAAAAGGCAAATATGCAGTGATGTGTGCCACTAGAACCTGCAGAAGGTAGGGTGACTATTGATGGGCCTAGAGAAGGGGTTTGTTAAACGATGTGGTGAAGGTGTGGGTTGGTGTTAATGCTGACTTAATAGTGAGTTTTCAGAGCATTAGCAGAAAAAGAGGGCAGTAAAGAAGGTGCTAAGAAGAAGAGACAGATTTAGTGTTCCACTCTCATGACTCCAATCTCAGAATTGAGCCATTTGATATGAATACAAGTAAAGCTCTTTCTTCGAATGTCAGAAACAGAGAGAAACGGTTGGCTGCTTGTTAGTGTCTCTCTACCCTCAAGGGATCATTACAGACAAGTCCTTTTTATTTCCAATTTCTATCATACACAATTATCCCCCACCCCTATCAAAACCAATTATAACAGCAGCAACATATTACTAACACTGTGCCTGGCATTTTACACTCTTTCGCTTTGATTATAAGAAGCTGTGTCCTAAATGATATCATTATTTTAACATTTTCTTTGTCTTCCTTTCTTTCTTTTTTTCTTTCTCTTCTTCTCAATTCCATTTCCTATCTCTCTCTCTCTCTCTCTCTCTCTCTCACACACACACACACACACACGTTCTCCCTTTTCCTGTTCTTACTTCCTTCTTTTTTCCACTTTACTCCACTCCTCTGCCCACGTTTGCTTCCTTTTCTAGTTATCCTATTGGTTTCTCCCAATAACTCTTGCTCACAGTTTTTTCTCTCTCTATCTCTTTCACCAGCTCTTTCTTTTACTTATAAGCCTTACTATCTTTTTTTTCTTCTTCTTCTCCTCCTTCCACTTCTAATTTGTCAAGCACTCTTTTTTTACTCTTTCTTCTTATTTTGTACTCAAGCACCTCTCTCTCATTTCTTACAACTGTCTGCCTCTTTCTGACCCTTTCTTCCTTTTACCTTTAACCCTTTCTCCTCTATTTTACTAATTAGTACACATTTTCTTTAACAGTCTTTCAAGCTTTTTCTCACACCGTTTTTCTTTTTCATACTTTCTCTCTATCACTTTCTTTTCTCTACTTTCTAAAAATCTCACTCTTTCTTTTTTTTTTCCACTCTCTTTTTTGCCACCCTCTTTCTTTTTTTTTTTTTACCTTTGGTCATTATTTTTTCTTCTTCCATTGTACATATATGCATTTAAGTAAATTATTGAAATCTGAGGTGCATTGGGATAGTGAAAGATGCTTTCCAAAAGCTAAACAAAGTATTAGGAAAAAGGAAAAATTTTGTCAAAATCAAAGACAATATTACTGAACCGTTAAGTAATATCAGTTCTCCTATATGGCAGTGAATGCTGGACAATCTCCTCACAGATGACAAAGAGACTTGAAGCAACAGAAATGTGATTCTACGCAAGGATGCAAGGAATACCATGGAACAAACATGTGAACAACATTGAAATTTTAGAGAAAATGGAAACAAAAACACACTTATACTTAGATTCAGGACAGATTGAAGGCAAGAGGGATGGAGGAAAACAATGCATAACCTACCTAGCGAGCTTGAGTAAATGAATAAAAGAGCAAGGTTTAGGAGAGAGAACAAAAACAAAAAAATTTATTAAGAGCTACAAAGAACAGGAAATTGTGGAGAGCCATGATCGCCTATGGCACGTAAAAGAAGAAGCAGCACTACCCTTAGTATTCTAAAAGTATTAAGATGAAATAGAAAAAGATTCTTTAAAAAAATCAGAAACAATAGATGTATTTACTATTTTCTTTATTCCAGTGGCCAAGGTCACCAGCCATCTTTCTTTTGCCCAAATGCATGTTTGTTTGTTTTTTTTTTAACTTTCTTCTATTTTTTCAGAATCTTTTTTCTTTTTTTGAAGCCATATTTCTTTGAAGGGGGGAATTCCTACAGCAGGAAGATCTTCTTTATCATGTTTTTGTTATAGATCAAGAATCAATTACTTGGACCTTTTAAGCTTAACATATAACTTGAAAACACAAGTAGAAGAATTGATGAATTTTACTATATTTGCTACAGTGAAGAAATATAAACTCAATGATTTAATGCCCTCTGATCTAATTTTAAAATTATTATTTAGATTACAGAATATCTAAAAGATGGTTAGCTGTTTTATTTTTAAATTATTACATGGTTACAATAGCTTGAAATCAATTAATATTAAATAATTTAATATGTAAAATAAATATGATTATATATATATATATATATATATATATATATATATATAAAATGTTCATATTTCATTAAAACGACAGACAAGGTACTACTTTTTATTTAATTTTTCTTGTGTTCGAACAAGAGCTTTCTTTTCTGGACAAAGGGTGTGTAAGAACTGTCCAAATGTTTTATATTGCTGAGCGCTTTCAGCTATACCTTTAGCCATTATCAAGGATGATTCGATTTTTCAGCTTTATAATTAATATTAAATAATTTAATATGTAAAATAAATATGATTATATATATATATATATATATATATATATATATATATATATATATATATATATATATATATATATGTTTCATTAAAAACGACAGACAAGGTACTACGGTTAAGCTTTTTATTTAATTTTTCTTGTGTCCGAACAAGAGCTTTCTTTTCTGGACAAAGGGTGTGTAAGAACTGTCCAAATGTTTTATATTTTCGAGCGCTTTTGGCTATACCTTTAGCCATTATCAAGGATGATTCGATTTTTCAGCTTAATTGAGGGTTTGCATTATGTGTATGTCTTAGTGTGTAGTAGGGATGTTTTTAATTTCCGTATTCGCAATTCATCCACAGTAAATTTTGCATCCAGGTTCTTACAATGGTTCACCATTCTTGGCAGATCTTCTGTTATCACAATATTTAAGAAAAATGGTGAAAACAAAAGAAAACAGAATCTAGATGAAATTGGCTAGATTGTATACAAAAAAAGTTCTTTATGTTGTAGAATACCTACGGATGATAATGGGTGTGTCCCCATTCACATAAATACAGTAGTAAATACTGTATGCTGGTCTGCAGTTGGAGATTCATTGTGGAATTCACTTGACTTACTTCTAGCAGTTGACTACTTCTTCCCACACATCACTGGTGAATCTTATATGTGTTGTTCTTGTCCTAAGTATTATCGTTCATTACCAACCTTTGTTTGATTATTCTATTCAGTAACCTACCCTAGGTTACAACACTTTATAAATTTTAACACTACCAGTATCTCTCATTCATCTGCATGTGTAGCCACAACAATGTAAACAAACCCAGTCCAATGAAGTCCTAATGGCTGAACTGTGTCACAAAAAATTTTTGCAATTTGTCATACATCTTTTCTTTCAAAACTGTTCTTAATATATAAAAATTTATACATCATTATCCCATATATATATATATATATATATATATATATATATATATATATATATATATATATAATAGTCATCCACAAACATACTGTTTCACTGTAACACAGCTCCTCAGTGTGGCTAGACATCCAATTGCTTCAAGCCTTAATCAAAACCCGACTGATTTGACAACAGTCAGATATCTTACCCCTAGGCCATCATCGCATGGCAGAAAGGAGGGGAATTTTAATGTTCTTCTCTATACAAAATACACCAGCGGGTTAGAGAACTCAATTCATACTTGAAGAGTAATGCTTAATAACAGTAGGAGCTGCTGTTTTTAAAAAACCCTAGAGAGAGAGAGAGAGAGAGGCACTCTATCATTGTCTTTAATTCTGATATTGAAGACTGTTATTAAAAACAGCATCACTTGCATTTATTGCAACATTTATTTATTTTGCAAATACATATTTATAATCTATAAAAGAAAAACCACACCCAAAGAAGTGCCATACCAAGATATCAAAGATACCATTCCATACCATCTAAATGTAGAGCAAAATATTATTCTCAATAATATGGTATTATAAGATCATCAATGGTACAATGGCCATTTATTCTGTCTTATCCAATGCAAGATATTTTACCAAGTGTGGTCAGTATTTACACTTTGTGTAATTAACAATCACCCTTGGTATGACATATACTGATATATATATATATATATATATATATATATATATATATAGAGAGAGAGAGAGATACATATTATCCCTGACCAGTAGCATGACTTGGAGTTGCATGCACAACACAATCTTCAGGTGTTGAGTGTAGACTAACTATTATGTAATTTAAATTTTAATAAAAAAGTCCAGTTACTGTAATGCTAGCACAGACAAATATTATATGGGGATTACATTTTTTTTATTTTAAAAAATATATTTGGCATTTAAAATAAACGGAATTCATATATATATATATATATATATATATAAAAAAAAAATTTCTTTAGAGTTGTGAATATTAATTTTTTATATTAAGCATAAAGGGAGATTACTGGTTCATTTTTAAAAAAAAAAAAAAAAAAACAAGCCATAATTTACATTAAAAATGAATCTGGATCAACATATTTCAGCAGATATTTGTTTTTATGCCTACATGTAATGATCAGTTTATTTCTCTTGTTTAATAAGCTAGGGTTATTTAAGTATTTGAAGATAAGTAATTTTTCAGCAAGTCATAAATTACATCACCTTTCCTATTGATACCGACCTCTTTTATCCATAAATATAGCATATCTTAAAACTATATTTTTATCACACACACACACACACACACATATATGATAATGTTATTAAGCTTATCAGACAATATGAAAAGAATTTACATAAAATAAATAGACAAAACTTGTCTATATTATTTAATGAAACATATATATATATATATATATATATATATATATATACACATACAAGGTGCGATGGGTAAATTTTTGCCATTTTATATTTTTAATTTTGTGCATGCATATTTGTTTTTCATTTTGTCGACTGCACATTATACTATGGTCAGTTGGGAACTGTCTGTAAGAAAAAGAGCACCATCACACAATTCACTCTGCCAAAAATTTGGAAACAGCATGCCATACTGCTTGGCATTTGTACTGGAAGTTCCAATACAAACATTTCAGATTGTCTGGGTGTCAATCAGAGGACAGAGCAGAGGATTCAGAAAAGAGTTGTATGAGTTTAATGGTGATTACGAAGGTGCTTGAAGTAATCACTAGCGATGGTTACATTATGCCTCCATTCATCTTCCCACAGGGCCTCAGACTCAACAGAAAGTAATGCTGCCCTGGGTTAAAAGAGTGTCTGCTGAAAGAACCTATGTCTGGCAACAGAACTCTGCAACATGCCACACAAACAGAAGAACCCAGTCATGACTGTCAGAGAATTTCTGCAGCCATATTAACCCTTACATCTGGCCACTCCTCAGACTGAAATCCCCTTGATTATTATGTGTGGGTCGCAGTTGAGCAAGAGTCCAAAAAAACTCCTTGTAACATCAAAGATGAACTGAAGGCAAGGATTATGGCAGTATTCACCAACTTAAACAAGGAGACCGTCCAGAAGAGATGCAGGAGATTCCAAAGTCTTCTGGAGGTCGTGGTTGAAGCCAATGGTAATTTTAGAGAATAGATTTGCTCTTTAGTATTTCAAGATATTTTTGTGTAATTTTGGTAAATATATCTTTAATTTTGTTATTTTCATTTTTGTGTAAATTAAGATGACAATTTATCTATCGCACCGTGTATATGGAATAATGATATACAAATTTTTTATATATCAAGAACAGTTTTGAAGGAAAGATGTATGACAAAGTGGAAAAAAAATTTATGCAATGTGTTTCATTCCTTAGAACTTCATCAGATTAGGTTTGTTTACTTTAATGCAACTACACATGTGTACAAACAAGAGACACTGGGAATTTTAAATTTAGAAAAAAATATTTATTTTGTGTTCAGGGTATATAATCTAGCCAACTACCAGACATTTTAAACATTTAAAAATGCAAGGGAGATAATTATAGGACAATAAAAAGTTACAGACATTATATGCCAAAAATAGAGCTTATAAATAAGCTTGGAGTATTATATAATAAGATTGCATACAATCACACTACCAGGAAATAAAGAACATAATTTTCTATTTTTTTCTTCAGGAAACTATTTTGTGCCTTCATTTCCTCATACTTTTTGTTATATAGTTAGATAGAAATGGACTGAGATAGATAGATAGATAGATAGATAGATAGATAGATAGATAGATAGATACTGAAATAGCCAACTAGATAGATGGATAAATAGATAGAAATGAACTGAAATAGCTAGCTAGCTAGCTAGCTAGCTAGATAGATAGATAGATAGATAGATAGAAATACTGAAATAGAAATCAATTTACTATCAAATAAAACCTATACTTTACAGTAGGACAGAGTGATTCTGTCTTCCAATATTTTATTACTTTTCTCTTGTACAATGTAACAATGCAATTTGAAAATGGCATATCTAAGATAACCATGTGAAGCCATAAAAATCCCAATCTTACCACCAAATAAAGAATTGATATAAAGACTGTCAAAATGATGATAAGATCAGAAAATCCAACCTTGAGTCATATTGTCACATGCAGAAGTTGTGCACTATTTGTCCAGTAAATGATTGCCAGTCTTTGTCTGTATAATCACAGTGAATTAGTTCAGTAGTTGATCATTATCCAAGCCCAATACTGTTAGCAGGCGAAAGAAACAAACAAGGAAATCATTCCATTGTTTAATCAATATCACCCCATGCAAGGCAATAAAGCCATTAAGACACAAGGGGTTACAGGGTGTGGAAGAATTAGGAACAGAAACATTAATAAAGACCAGGAAAGGAAAAGAGTAATCAGGACAGTAGATAGCAATTAACATTGCATTTAGATTTTTACAGATTAAAGTTGGCTGGAAAGTGTTGAGGGGTCCACCCATTTTTATACAAATGGACTCACCCAATGTATACTTATACTACTGCCAGAGCAAGACCGAAGAGTCAAGTCGAGTCCAGAGTGACAGAGTAAAAGGTTGTAGGTAACCAGAAGAGTGAGGGTGAGTTAACAGCATTGTAGGAGTCACAGTGAGCGAGCATGTAGACTCAGTAAGAAGTCATACAGCGATACTTCAATACCAAAGACTGTATATATATGTTTTGCTACTAACCCATATTCCAGGAACTACTAACCTGCATTACCAGTTTGTATTATTACGTTAATACATTATTTTCTTATATTCATTCCTGGCGTTTGTTATTTATTGGTACCGGATTTCAACCTGGAATCCACAACAGAAAGCATGGAGCCGGAAGGTATTTCCACAAGCAAGAAGTGTGAGAAAAGAAACTGTTGGTATAGAATTTATGGCTCAATTGTAAATTAATGAGATCTTGATGCCAGTTTAGTAATGTGCTTAAATTAAAAAATTCTAGATACCATCCAAAGATCTCTACCAAACAATTATCATGAAAGTATTTATAGAAAAAGACATAGAGAGGCAACCTTGCAGTGGTGAGAAAGTGACTGAAGCTGAGCCAACAGATCAGGACCAATAATACTGCAGATTCTTCTTTGGATCTTATCAAGGAGCTCAAGGTAAATAACAAGGGCACTGAGCCATATGTGATAGCAATATTCTAAGTATAGGTGAATGGTAGACTTATAGATATGTAAGATAGATTCTAGAGAGAAGAATTGTCTCATACAACACAGTGAACAAAGTACTTAGCAGCTGACCTAGCAATAGATTCAATATAGTCTTTCCCCTTCTTATCAGTTGAGAAAATTAGCCAAAGAAGGGGCAACAAGTCACTTTCCTGGAAGTTAGCATCAGCTATGTCGATGGAAAGCAGAAAGGGGTCTCTTAGATGATTAATAGAAAAAATTCATCACTTAGAAACTGCTAATCTGAAGAGAGGAATAAAGAAAGATTAGGATCAAGTAGGGGGAAAAAAGAGAGTGAAAGAACAATAAGACAAACTGATAGTGTTTTATGATTTATACAAGACAGTCTGCTTCACAAGAATTGAAAAGTTAAATGATTATTAAATTTTGACTGATTTCTAAGCTTTTTTTACATGCTACAGTAATTACAGTGAACACATCTAGAATGGTTGGTCAGTTGATTTTGTTAAGTAGTATATCAACTTCTAAGGGCTATTTCATGCCAAAATTTAAATATTTCCAATTCAACTGTACAACTAAAGATAAAATGTATTGTTGTTAATATAAATAGATATTGTTGGTAATTCTACAATAAATAATTATTCTTGTTAATTCCAATACAAATAGATACTTTTTATAATTCTAATACAAATATGTATTATCGGTAATTCTATGACAAATACGTATTGTTGGTACTTTTTATATAAATAAGTATTGCCGGTATTTCTAGCATAATGTATTTTTATACTTTTATAGGATTTTGTTTTTATTTGGGGGTTCTCTATTTGCTGATAGCTAGGACCCTAACAGGTGCTACCACCCCAGATCAGGGTAGCTTTTGGAACAACAGCAATTAAGAGGTCGTTCCATGCTCCTCAAAACCTCCTGATCAGAGGCCTTACTGCGAGATGTAGTTTATCATTATACCCAGGACTCTTTATTTATGATTCTATAATGTCAGTCTTTGAGATCTGATGAAGGATCATCTTTAAGACCTACAGGCTATGGCTAAACATACTCCAATACTAAGTGTGTGAGCAGTCTCAGACCCCCACAACTGAACATGAACTTTACATTCTTGTCTGCAATGTCTGCAAATCTACCCATCTCTTCTCTGGAGCAGTTGTTTGTTTTTCTTTCTCTCTCTCTCTCTTCATTCTCACACTTGCAAAACTGGATACGGCTGTGAGATCATGTGATTCTGCATTTAGCAGCTGAGAGTAAACTCAGATCTATCCTGCACCTGGCTTGTCTGATGATCTGGTGTGATATTGAGCACAAATTCCATTCTGACATAATACTACATTTCTATATTTTGCAATTCACATTGCTGCTTCCTCATAGAATATAAAAACAGACACAGTGTTGCAATAAAAAATGATGAAGGAAAAAGTATTTGGAAAAAATTGATCACCAATTTATAAAGCTTCATCTTAGAATTTTGAACAAGCTAAGGCTATTATATCTACTACTACTAATTGGAAACAAACCAAAAAAATAAGATGGGAAAAAAACTAGTAAAACAATTAGTAGCAATATTTCATCAAAAAATTCAAAATACCTAAAAGACTACTATATCTATTACAACTACTACTACAGCTACTACTTGATCTAAACAAGTAATAAAAATTAAAGAAAAACTAATAAAAAATAATGACATTTCTTCATCTAACAAATTAGCAAAAATTTAATTTTTTTAATATTTTTATTATTCATCTTTCATTTACTCTTTGTCTTATTTTTACTGCTTCTATATTCCTCTTCCACTTTTCAACAATATCTTCTTTTTTTCTTTCTGTTTTTGTCATTTAATTGCAATTTTTCTCTGCAAAACAGTTTTTGCTTTTCTATCTTTTTTCTGTTGCATTTCTATTTCTTTCGTTTTCCTTTTTATATTTTTTCATTCCTTCTGTCTCCCTCTTCTCTTTGTTAACTTTAGAGTTCCTTTAAAAAAAACAACAAAGTAATAACGTCATATCCATGTAATATTAAGCTTCTTAGCTTAGATTCCCTTCGAAAATTCATGTTTCCTTAGAAGCATTTCCACAGATGTATCTGGCAGAACAACTGCGTAGGATTGGGTAGGTTCCACATACATATATAGTTCCATATATTTCTCCACGGTCCCTGCATTCCAATACCAATTTATATACATCCAATTATCAAAGAGAATTGAGGAAATATATAAATTAGTTACAGAGCTAAAAACTGTGCCTTGTTTAAAACAAGAACATATGATCTGGCTATTACTATCATATCCAGTTACAAAACATTCCACATTCTGGCCCTTACTCTACCTTGTTAAACTTGTCATTGGTTGCATGAATGAATTTTTCAGAGAGTTTTCTATTATTGCTAAAGCCCTTCCAACTTTGGCTGCAGGAGATTTGGAATTGGCCCTTACTCTACCTTGTTAAACTTGTCATTGGTTGCATGAATGAATTTTTCAGAGAGTTTTCTATTATTGCTAAAGCCCTTCCAACTTTGGCTGCAGGAGATTTGGAATTGGCCCTTACTCTACCTTGTTAAACTTGTCATTGGTTGCATGAATGAATTTTTCAGAGAGTTTTCTATTATTGCTAAAGCCCTTCCAACTTTGGCTGCAGGAGATTTGGAATTGGCCCTTTTTCTACCTTGTTAAACTTGTCATTGGTTGCATGAATGAATTTTTCAGAGAGTTTTCTATTATTGCTAAAGCCCTTCCAACTTTGGCTGCAGGAGATTTGGAATTGGCCCTTACTCTACCTTTTGTTAAACTTGTCATTGGTTGCATGAATGAATTTTTCAGAGAGTTTTCTATTATTGCTAAAGCCCTTCCAACTTTGGCTGCAGGAGATTTGAATTGGCCCTTACTCTACCTTGTTAAACTTGTCATTGGTTGCATGAATGAATTTTTCAGAGAGTTTTCTATTATTGCTAAAGCCCTTCCAACTTTGGCTGCAGGAGATTTGGAATTGGCCCTTACTCTACCTTGTTAAACTTGTCATTGGTTGCATGAATGAATTTTTCAGAGAGTTTTCTATTATTGCTAAAGCCCTTCCAACTTTGGCTGCAGGAGATTTGGAATTGGCCCTTACTCTACCTTGTTAAAGTCATCATTGGTTTCATGAATGAATTTTTCAGAGTTTTGCAAGAAATTAATTAGATCATGTGGTCAATGATGCAGAGAAGTCATTGAAAATAAGGGGATGTTTACCAAATATCAAATTTTATTGATATTTTGTTCACAATCAAGTATTAACAAGATCGTTACTTAACTTTTGTCCAGTAGCTTATTTCCTTTGTTCCATTTAATCTTTATTTAAAAAAAATAACTATTATGTAAATTTTTGTGACTTTGTATATTATTTATGCATTACACACTAATCTTTATTTGGTAAAAATTTCATTGTTAATCAGGCATTACTTTTTAAGTAATACACATATTTATGTCTTTGTTGTTTCCGTTCCTTATATTATAGCCGCTACTGTACATGTGCGTGTGTGTGTGAGAGAGAGAGAGAGAGAAATATTTAGTAGGAATAAGTGTTTGAATTCTACAGAAAAGAGATACCATTTTTACTTGAGTATAATATGACCT